GGGGGGGGGGCTGCCGCTGCCGCGCTTACAGCTCTTCCCTTCCCCCGCCTTCAGCCTGGAGCTGGCCGCGTCCGGCCCCCTCTGCGCCTTCGCTGTGATTGCTCGAATATGTGTAACGACTTTATAGCTGGTTTCTTTCCAGATTCGGTACAGGCCCTGCCTGCTGTCAGCTGCCGGGCAGCGCAGCACGGTGCAGCCAACGGGGTCTCCGGGGTGCGAGGTGCTCCAGGTAGCAGCTGGGGAGACTGTAGCTCCCGCTGTCTCCCCGCCATTGTGACCCCCCAGCTGTGGGGCACCACGGCGGCAGCTGACGAGGCCCTTAGTCCCGGCTGCACCCCACATGCAGCTGTACTGAGACCCCATCAGACGTAGGACTCTCAGTCCCAGCTGTGTGTGGTCCCTGCAGCTGGGACCCCATCAGCAAAGCGGGCTCCCAGCCATGGGAGCCTGCTTTTTACTGATGTAGGAGGAGCCCAGGATCCAGTTGCCAGCAATAAGCTGCAGTTGGATTTAATGTGCAGTGCGCATGGCAGGATGCATTATGGTGTGGATCCTGCATTAGATCCAGTTGCGTCTGTACCTGCATGTGTAGAGGGGCCCTATTTCCCTATTTTTTTTCTAAATATGAGGAATTGGCCAGCCTCACTGGTGGTCATGCGTTGCCTTCTCATTGGTCATTATTGTTTAAAGAACTCTAGTTGACCTGCTGGTGAAATCAGAAGTCTTTTTTTTGTTTTTTACTTGCTACTGAAATTTGGGCTGCCTCTTATTGTGTGGGTGCCTGATTGTAGCTGTTGTGATGACTGTCATTACTGCTGTCCATACAAAGCTCTTGTATTGGTATTAATAAGTTAAAAGACAGCCAACCTGTGGCCACACTAAGAGTGAGAGCCTATTTTTGTGAACTGTTCTTTGCGCATATTGTATTTGAACTTCTATTCCCCTTTCCTTGTTGAGAACTGACACTTATCACTGGGTCCAGTTCAGTGTTAACTTGTGTACTGCAGCATAAAATGGATTTGAATGTATATAAGGTTTTTTTCTACATGGCAGCAGAGATGTGGGTTTTCTGGAAAATTTTGAATTGGAAAATTTCCAGTGCCCTAAATAGAGCATGATCTGATCTAGCAGGTTTATTTGACTTATATTTAGTAAACAAAACTGAAAAAGTACCCCATGTTAATTTTGTGTCCCAATAGCCACAAGTATTTGAACTGAAATATTTGATTAGGGAAAAAAAGTAAATATAGCACACTTAATATGGTTTAAATGTTATATTCAAACAAATTCAAAGCTTCATGTGGAAAGAAATTATTGAAATACTAGCAACAATGTAAAGCACAATAGCATGTGCTTCCCTTACATTTTTTGTTTAAATTTAAGGAAAAAAAGGCACTGAAAACTGTTGACACTAATTTTAGCACACCCAAAGAACTGTGCATGATATGCTGTGCTGTGGTTTTGATTTGACCTGTGCAGCTAATTAGGTGAATTCATACCTTGTTTTTTGGTTTGGCTTATTATGTGAGTGTATTTACCCTCCTGTTTACAAATCAATAAAACATATATGTACTGTTACACACTTCCTGGGCATAATCACCTGAAAAACATTAATTGCATCTTTGAAACAGCTAAGCTTGCCTAATATTGTATTGGCATCCATTCATTCATTGTTACTAATGAATTTTATGAAACAATGAATTTTTAGAAATAGAAAATTTTCCAGTGCTTTATTTTTCTGTGGAAAATTTTCTGCCGCATATCTCTGCATGGCAGTGCTTCAGATTGCAGAACTGACAACTAAGGAAGTGTGTTGCATGGGAGAAGATTATTAGGAATTTCTAAATGTTGGGGGGAAAAAGTTGTTGTGATTTCTCGTTGGGGAAAATAGGGTGATTTCCTGTGTTGTCTTCTAGTTAAGTTTATCAAGGCTTTGGACGAGGGGGTGGGAGAGTGTGAAGGTGGACTTAGTCCACTACAACTCCAAGTGAAGGAAAAGCAGAAGCCAAGCCCTCATCTGCTGAATCACTGACCCCTTCACTTCCTCCATGATGGAAGATGATAAAATAGCATGGACTAAAAGTAAAAAATAAGAAACAATACCTTTGTCAGCTCCAGTTGGTACACTTGGGTCTCTCTTTATGCAATAGTTGCATTCCAAAAATACCTCGCATAAAGCAAATCCATTATTACATATAATTAGTAGGGATACATACCAGTCTCACTCGACTGCTCCCCCAAAACACAGCAAATTCAAATGGTAGTCACCAGGGCCGTCCCCAGGGGGATGTGAATCGGAGCGACCACCCTGGGTCCCGCACTTTGCGGGGCCCGGCAGCATGGGGTGGAGCAGCACAGAGCCAGGCAAATCATCCAGCCGCTTGCTGCCTCCCGCCACAATGGGGCTGTGTGGAGGAGGTGCTTGCCCCATGCTGCAAACAGCTCCTAGCACCCCCAAGCTGGACAGCAACCTCAGGCCTGCCCAACTCACCCCCTACAGGGGCCTCAATCCCCCTCTTCTTCCCCACTTACCTGCTGGAGCTGCCCTCAGGACTAGGGGCCATGTGCATATACTTCCAGTGTCCAAAGTACATTTAATTTTTTTTTGCATACACATGGTGCCCCCTATCTTACCTCCTTCCTTCTGCTTCCTTCCAGCTCTCTGCAGGCTGGGACTCTGCCAGCCTGCAGGGAGCTCATTGCCAGCTGACTTCGCATAAGATGGGATTTTTCTCACAAAGCGAATTTCTGGTATAATCAAGGTTGTCGCATATAAGTGAATTTGCACAAAACGAATTCACATAAAAAGAGACCTGAGTGTACTTTCTTTTTTCTGCAGGGACTTGGCTGAGATTTGCAGCTAATTGAAGCAAATTCTGAGAATGACTAAGATGCAACTATCAGGTAGAAATAAACACCAATAACACCATTGAGGGCCTTTGTCCTTATATGGTGATGCAAATGAATGACAAAAACTATACCCACTGCTGTTGGAGTTGAACTTGCTTTCACTGATTCACCTGCTGGTGACATCCAAGTTTGATGTCATAAAAAGAATAAGGAAGTTTAGGTTTGAAATTGTTGAGCCTAAAAAATAAAACATCCCCCACTTGTCAGAATCTGTTTAGCAACACAAGTTGCCCATGACCATATTGCTTCCATGCTCCTCTTTGCTTGTATGCTTTCAAACAGTGGGGTTAGATTTGAGTTTTGGTCCTCTGTGGGATTGGCCAAAATTACCAGTGGCTCAAAACTGTAATCCTGTATTTCAGTGTCTACTCTGACACATTTGCTGTATGGTTTTTGGCAAATCACTAACCTGTTTGTTCCTTTTAGATCATTAGAATACTTGCTTACTTCTGAGAGCTGTTGGAAGGAATCATTAAGTTGACCTCATTTAGTGGTGTATTGGTGGTGTGAGAAGAACTGCTTAGACACTAGGGGCACTACCAGCTTTCTGACTAGTCACATGATGACTCATTTGTTTTTTATCTTTCTCTGTAAGTAGGAAAGAGAAATGTGTTCACTGTGAAACTGAGCCATTTGGGTCAGAGGCAACAGTGCACTAGATATGTATTTAGTTTTCTAACCACGGTAATCCATTAACAAGATACAAACAGTGCCTGACTTTCTTATACCTGCCTTATTTCTGGAAATTGCTTGAGACTGAGCAACAGTGGTGTTGCTGTAATGACGCTGATTAGTACAGCAGCTACTGATAGGCCTTGTCAAATTTCTAATGTTCCAATGCATTATTATTAGGCAAGGACTGCTTGAACAGTGGTGAATTCTGTTGACAAAATTTGTGATCTAGCAGCAATATCAGCTACTTTCCTAATGTAAATGGCTAAAACCCAGTTGTGTCTGAGAGTTTAGATTCCTCCGTGGGCTTCACAGTGTTTTGGTTTCTAACCAAACCAGAGGATTCACTTGAACCAATTACAAAATGATCTGCACTGCTTATGATTAAAGTGTCATGGGGTCTCTTACTTCTTTGCATTTGAACATTTTTGTGGGAGATTATTAATTATGATGTACTTGTATAATAATAATATTGATAATGAAGATGATATAGCAAGTTTCTAGCTGCCATGCTTGAGTGACTCTGATCCCTCATGGTTTTACTAGGGAAAGTTTTCTCACATCCATGTTTTGTGTTGTTTTGTTTTCTCTCCTTTCAACATTTTTTTTCATCGAAAAGCATTTCTGCCCTTGTCTTGCATCTACATAAGAGAAAATAGAGCCAATCATTTTCTACAGATCTTGTAACTGTAACCTCTATTCAGATAGGTAATCTCATACACTGTTCACAGTTAACTGGCCCCTGTCCAGCTAGATGCTTATTTCACTAGCTTTTCTGAGCAACTTGGGCTAATTTAATTTAGGATGCTGTAGACTTACTATTACCCATATACATTGTGCTCTCAAGCACATAGCCTCAGGACTGAAAAAAAGACTATGCGTCTACATAGATCAGGCACATGTCCAAAAAATGTAAATACTCTGTGCTGTCAGTGCTAGGGTGTTAGCAGGCCCCAAACTATCTAACTTCCTGTCATTAGAAGCTTTGAAAATAGCAGCCTTCCTTTTGGGAGTTCCTTCTCCTTCACTCTTTCTGGTGGAATTAAAGGACATACAACTGTGAACAAAGTAGGTGGACACAGCTATCTTATATAGTTACCAGAGTACAGTTATTTGCAAAGTGAGCCATAGTTCTGAAAGATGCTATATACTTAAGTGGTTTATGCATTTAACTAATATGCAGTAGTCAATTTGTTGCAATGTAACTAATAGACAAGTTGGATTTGGCAGTGATAATGCCATTTGTTGAATTATGCACTTACCCAGGATGCATATAAATGCTATCTTGTCACCTCTGTGCAAAGAAAGTTGCTCTCCTCTCATGGTCCTTTGTGGTCACTTCCCATCAACCTCTGCAAACACTTCTCCATTTGCTTCCACCTCTGCCAGACATAGCCTCCTCTCTACTTTAGGGTATAGACAAGCGTACATTTGTAGCTGTTTCATGGGGGAAGAAGGAAAATACATGAGCTTAGTGCAATACAAGTATAGTAAAACTGCTCCAGCTAACCCTGCTTCATCTGTGGACAAAGTTGGGCCAATTTAGCTTGCTTGTATCATTACAGGGTCATGCAAACACAACAATTATAGCATAATAGCTGCTGTTTGCTTCTGAGCAGCAGTTCCCCTTCCCCTTTTGAAGCCACTATAAATGTATGTTTGTTCACGAAGTCCTTATCGAGCATCATGCAAAACCCTCTCCTGTGCTGTCTGTAGTCCACATCTGTTTGCACTGTGACTGGCACATCTTGTACACTATTCAGGTTTCCACTTAATATTTGGAAGCTGTAATACAGCATATCTGTGTGCTCTAGGAATTGATGTGGATAAGAATTTGCTAGTGCTTTCTTTTGCTATTTGTCCAAAGAAGTACCAAAGGATTGTGTGCTGGCAGGGGTGAATTTCAGGTAAAATAGAAGTCCAGGCTCCAGTTGGCAAAGACTATAGACACTTTTTTGCAAGAGGGATAGTTATATTAATGCCAGTGTTCTGGCCAAATTACTGCCCAAGCAGAGACTGTATTTGCACCTTCCTAAATTTTCCCTTCAGTTTTCACTGGATAGAATTCCACATGTCCCAAGCTGCTGTGCAATACAGTTGTGTGCTCTACTTCAGAGGTGGCTGTACTTTACTGGTGGAGGAAGTTATTTCTGGATATATTTGTTTGTGAAAGAATCCTGAGGTTCTTTAGGATAAAGGCTTTTTGTGGCAGTAGTGTCTCTGATGTATGGCTCACAGGTAGCATGTTTCCTGTGGACCCTTTGATTCTGCTTACAGCCACAGAATGCTAAAAAAAGTAAAAGAAAGAATAGGGCGTATGCTGTTGCCTACAATGTCACTTGCTCAGTATTGTTGCCTGTGGACTACCAAAGGTTGGGGACTATTGATTTCTAGTATTCTAGGGTCTTTTCTAAGCTGTAAGGTGTTGACCGTTCCTCATGCCAGGGTATTGTTTTGAAGCCCTCACAGTTTACTATGCGAATTGAGTCCAGTGAAGAGTGTTGAAGATGAGGTTCTTAAATGCTATTACCCTTCTTTCCTTCCCTCCCCCCGCAGTAATGTTTCCATTGTGAAGTGGTGAATAATACATTTGTCACAGCCTTGTACATTGTGAGACTTGTCACCCTCCCAGTGCTCTATACACCTCAATTGTACTGTCTGATGCACTGCTTGGCATCTGCTGGACACATCTGACTTGATAGAAGCTTCCCATTGTAAAGGCAATAATGGATTCAACATGGCATTCTGTGTATGACAAGAGCAGAGTTGGAGGGCTGGACACTGAAATGGTACAGTTGCCTCTTCACTTCCTGGTACCTTCTATGTCAGGAGCAGGCAGTTATTTTGGGTGGAGGGCCGCATGACAGGCAGTCAGGGGCAGGCAAATATTCATTTTCTAAACTTTTTAGGGGCCCCGCAGGCTGGCCCATGGGCCACATTTTGCCCACCTCTGTTCTGTGTATGTGTGTATGAACAAAAGGACAGGATAACTCTCCAAACTGTTCCCTGTTTAACTTGGGTTTGGAAGTGCTAACTTCTCATGCCTTTACATAAAAAATAGATAGGCTTCCTGTCTCCTACAGTGGCCAGTTCCAGCCAGTACAAAATAAGGATGAATGTTCTCATAATGCACTTTTTCTTTTGTCACAGAGCAAACTTCTTCCTGATCAAATTGTACCTTGAATTGACAGGTCAAGCTGATGGACTTTCTTACTTGCAGAGATGTGTTCTTGTTCAGAGAGGGTGTAATTGTTCAGTCTTAATGGGCATTTTTACACATTGAAAAGTGCCCAGTGCTGAGAAAATGGTGCTTTAGTTCAGAAGTGCACCACCACCATTTTCTGTGCACTGATGTGCATTTCGCCGCTTACACAACTGCACGTGGCACAGCATAGCGCGCCTCAGCTTGTGTGCAGAACAGACGCGATTAATTGGGTCTGCTCTGAAGTGGTGGGTCTCCGGTGCATCACAGGAAAAAAAGTGTGTGTATAAATGCCCAATATGCCCCCCTGCTTAAAATCTTGCTGCAGAGGACATCTTTTATGTCCAAAGTATTAACTAATTTATTACTAAATATAATCTGAATTATGAAGTAAAGTTAACTGTAACTGATGACACAGTATGTGATTATGCTGAAACAGTGCTTTGACAGGGTTCAGACCCTTGTAGTCTCAAAAGCCTCCCAGTTGTTTGCCTTGTTCTAAGGAAAGGCTGAATATTATGTTTTGATTTTTTTTCCTCAAATCTTTTCTCTTCTCTGGTATTTTGTGAAGTGTGATCTGAATGAAGATGTCTGAAAAGTAGACTTTAGTTCAGTGTGAAGTATCAAGGTAAGCTTGTATGGGAAAACTGAAAATCTGTTTAAGTAACAGCAGCCCATCCTCTCTAGGGGGTTTTGACATTTGACTAGGGGCTACCATTCCCTTTTCTGTGGAAAAGCTAAAACTTTAAGCAATTTTGTTTTCCAGATCTTCCTGGAGATATGCTTAAGCATGTGCCTGGAATGTAAATCTCCTTCTTTTTTTGCCTTTTTTTTTTTTTTAAATGTAAACTTTTAAAAACTTTAAATCCAGATGAATTCCTTCCATGAAGTGGATTACATTTAAGTAGGAATGAAGCACTCTACTTTGGAGTAAGTGTGCCCACACACATTCTTACTGGAGGAATAGCTCTGTGTGTAGATGAGTCCTGAGCTTTAAGAATTTGGCTCTAATCACTTAATTCCTCCTACTCCATTTCCCTCACCTATAAGGCTTGGGGACCTCCCTTCCTACAAGTCTTCCCCAACGGATGGGAAGATGGGTACAGAATCTAAGTGACAATCCAAGGTCATACAGTGTCAAAGGAAGCACCAAGGAGTCCCTGACTTGAAGACCCCTTTTGTAACAACGAAACCAGAATATTTGCCATGGTGATGCCATTGTGAATTGATAGTGTAAACAATGCATGGGGTGTACTGGGAGAATTGGCTGCAGTTTTGGATGGATTGTTATTTTGGGAGAAGGATGTATTCTTGAAGCTTAGAATTTTAGATTTCATTTTGCCAGAGAATTCATTCTTGAGACCACTGTCTGTTACTTGTTTATAGTCATCAGGGCCCTTGGTTTCTTGATCAGGCAGTCACCTCACCAACTTCCTCCTCCTGTGCCTTGCACTCCAGTCCCTCAGTCTCTGCCTCCCTGTTCAGGGCCTAGGGGCTGGGGTGGAGCAGGTGCCAAGGCATAGGGTTGATAGCTCAGAGAGTGCAAGCTTGAGGCCATAGCAGAAATACTCATGGCCTGTCAGATTCTAACAAATTTCTGAGCTCTACTAAATACCTTTGTCACAAGGGCACACAAAAGGAAAGGGAAGTAGATGCATAAGTAGCTGGCTACTGACTACAGAGGTCACAGGAGAATAGGTAAGACCTTGCCAGATCTTTGTGACTAGCATTTCTAAGCAGAGTGGAGTGGAGTTATACCAACTCTTGTTTTTTTCTGAAGCTAACTGGCCTTGTTATTTTTGCTTATGTAGGACATAGAGCTCTTAAATATAGGTAGAATCATTCTGGGAAGCTAACTTTAGTCTCTGCCTTTCATTCAGTAGTCACTGTCTAAATCAATCTGTGTGTGATTATCAGATGATTTTAACTCCTTATTTTCAAATTTCTGTGCTTCATGAATAAATTCAAAATTTGGACCACTGAAAGCCTGAGCTGTGCTAGCCCTGAGACTACCATGAAAACTATGGAGGCATTTTTAATCTCTCTCTAATTTATCACAGTTATCCTTTGAAAAGTCAGCACTTCCTTATTGAAGTGTTTTTCTCCAGTACTCATGTCTAAGTATGATTTAAATTGGAGAGATTAATGTCCTTTTTAGAGAGAAATTATGAATTGGGGTCAGAGATGTGGGTTTTCTGGAAAATTTTGAATTGGAAAATTTCCCAACGCCCTTAGGGCGTGATCTGATTTAGCATGTTTATTTGACTTGTATTTAGTAAACAAAACTAAAAAAGTATCCTGTGTTAATTTTATGTCTCAACAGCCACAAGTATTTGAACTGAAATATTTGATTAGGAAGAAAATTAAATACTGTACACTTAATGTGGTTTTAAATGTTATATTCAAAAAAATTAAAAGCTTCATGTGGAAAGAAATTATTTTTATTGGAATACTTGTAACAATGTAAAGACAGTACACAATAGCATGTGCTTCCCTGACATTGTTTGTTTAAATTTAAGAAAAACTACTGACGCACTAATTTTAGCACATCCAAAGAACTGTGCATGATATGCCATGCTTTGGTTTTTATTTGACCTGCACAGCCAATTAGGTGAGTTCGTAACTTGATTTTTGGTTTGGCTTATTATGTAAGTGTATTTGCCCTCCTGTTTACAAATCAATAAAACATATATGTACTGTTACATACTTCCTGGGCATAATCACCTGAAAAACATTAATTGCATCTTTGAAACTGCCAAGCTTGCCTAATATTGTATTGGCATCCATTCATTGTTACTAATACATTTTATGAAACAATGAATTTTTAGAAATAGAAAATTTCCCACGGAAAAATAAAGCATTGCCTCACATCTCTGAATGGGGTTAGGAGCATGCTAAATTGCAAGCAGTTGCAAAGAAACATACAAGGCACATTCTTTTTGGGAGAATTACTAATTTTTATAGGAAATTTTAGATCTAAAACACTATTTTCAGCACATTTCACGTGCCCTGTAATTAACAGTTCTATGCTGCTCCAATTTCATAACTATGGCAAAGAGGTGATGAGTCAATGTCTGGTAATCTTAGGGAACCTGATTGATTAGTGGGAGGTGCATATGAAGAAGAGAGTATTTATTAGTTTGGTAGTAGCAGTAGGATGCAACCACATTTTAGTTTGTCCTTGCCCTTACCTATTGTTGCATTTGCTTTTGCTTTTCCCTGAGGAAATTTCTTGGCTTTTTGGCTCTGCTTCTTTTAAGAATTGGAAGCAATGCAGGAGCACCCTTCTTAGGACAGATGACAGCTGCTTTTCCCTTAGCTGCATCAGCACCAGCTCTGTTGTGCTGAGGTGTCTTCTGAAATGCTAGCTTTTCCTGAGGAACATAAGCCTGAACTTCGAGATAATTTGGATGGAGGGTTCTTATTTTTAGAATCTGAATTTTAAAATATTAGAACTAGCACTAGAGCAAACTGAATTCAAATAGTGGCTGTGATTTTGGCCTTCTGGCCAAAACTAAAGGGGCAATGTGAAGGCAATAATGCACTGCTTCTGTATGCATTTGGAGTAGACTCTATTAATTGCAGGATTTCTAGATGGACTTGGGCAAGTCACTTCACTTTAGCCTCACTTCCCCCTTGTAAAAAGAGGTGCACTTGTCTTATGGTGTATAGAGCTTGATTAAATGTCTGTGCAGCCCTCAGAGGTCATGTACTGTTTGCTGAGCTGGTATCTGTGGGGAATTGGTGACCTGATCAAACAAAGTACAAAGGTAAAGGCATGGGTGTGGAAATAAAGCTTACAAACCTTTGTCCCCTTGCCGCTTTCACTGGCATTATCCTTTCCAACAGAAAAGCCATGAAGTAGACTTTGTGACCATTTTCTAGGAAGCCTGAAGACTGGGACATTGCTTGCCCTTGGGGAGGATCATAATGGGGGTTCAGGGCTCTGAATTCCTAAATCTCTAGCACTTTGCTGCCAGACTTGGTTTCAGTCTTGCTGCATGAAGCTAAAATCCATTATATAGCCTGATTGGGTCTTGGCCTAGTTCTAACTAGGCTGATTACCAGCACAGTCATTGCCCTTTGGGTCAAAGTTGGCAGCGTTAGAGAGGGCCGAGAGCATGGGTCATAAATTGAGTAACTCCCCCTGAGTGCAGGGACTGCCAGGTTTGGATGAGGCATACTGGGCGAGGGAGGCTTTGCCCTGCTTCTGCTTGTGCTGTACAGTGTATATGTTAATATAACTCCATTCTTCAGAGCACTCCAGCTGGCACCTTGAGCCTGCACAAAATTCAGTA